GGGTTGCTAGGGTTAACCCTACCCAGAAGCACTTGTCTCCGAGTATTACATCATTCCCATGCCCGTTCTGGTTTTGCGCAGATCGCGATGGACGAGTATCTGGAGGCCGTTCTGGAGGACCTGGGCAACGGCGACGTGCCTCGTGGCAAGCTGTCGCAAGCTGTTATCCAGCGCTGGGTCAGCCTCTGTAAGATGCTGTTGCGACTTCTTGAGCGATGGGATGCGATCAGCCACGTTTACCTGAATAAAGGCGACGTGTTCCCCTTGGGCAAGCGCAGGGACGAGGTAAGCGTTATGCCTCGTGATATGGTTTCCTCGCCTGCCTTTGCAGGTGTGAATTGCGCAGTGTTACGTCGGTTGCTCTACCCCATGATACGACATGGCATTACACTGCTGCAGATTCGGCGGCCTAGCCGTAAAATCCCTCGGCTACGCCCAAAAATATTTTCTCAGATTTGTGACGGCCCCCCTTATCCGGCCCTGAGTGCAAAGACCGTGTTTTAGTTGCGGAATGTGCGTTGTCCAATAAGGAGAGGGACGTGTACATGACTGGGCTGGGAAAAGTAGAAAGAAGGTACAGGAAGATGTTTGGGGCATGGCATAGCGAGGACAAGACGGTAGCTGTACCGGGGCATTGTAAGCGGGTAGAAACGGCGGGAAGGGAAATCGAAAGAACAGCTAGACTATGGCATACTTTTTTTAGCCACCTTTGGCAAGAGTAGGAAGGAACGATTGGCCATCGGTGATCGGACCTGCGGGAACAATCGCCCGTCCTCTCGACAAGGCGTTATCAATGATCTAACCGCGAAGATATGGAAAACATACGAGAACTCTCCTCCCCCCTTATCCGGTCGACGCATGCTTCACTCTGTTGTTCCATCATTCAAAGTCTGCAACTCTCTATCCCTCGTCAGCACAAAGTTGAGCAAGCGCCTTCATTTTAGCAGCGTCTGTTATTGGGAATATGACGTTGACAACATGTGATAACAATCGAGATGTCCTCGATATAACCACCTCCTCTCTCCTCCGCTGTTTTGCTGGTTCCAGTTCGACGAGGTGTACAGCATCCTCCGGGTTATGAAGGACGTCACCCTATACTGCCAAAGTGCGTCAGAGGCTACCGCGGGAGGGGCAATGAACAGGGTCGTTCTCCTCCTGACAACAACCCTCGAGCCGATGGAAGACCTGGAGATTGTGCATGTCCCGGTGATTGGCGCGGAGGGCGCGAACGGCGGGGCAGGCGTAAAAGGCGCGGAGGGCGCGGCCGGCGGGGCGGACGTTGGCGGGCCGGACGCCGGCGGGCCGGACGCCTCGGATAGCGCAGGGGCTTCGTCCCGAACCATGCGATCCCACACCGACCTGACGGAAACCGGCCGTGCGACTCGTGAGGCCTTCCCCACCGCCATCGGCAAACGGTTTTTGCCGCGCTATCAACGGGCGAAGCTAGAGACTCATTCTCATCTCTTCGACCACGCCATGTTTCTGAGCTCTGGGTCGCGCAAAATGAAGTACATCGGTAGGCTCGTGACATCGAGCACCGCCGTGGGCCTTGGCCTCGTCGCCAAGGTCGTTGCCCAGATCAGGAGGAAGTTGGCGGCCGAGCGGGTGGAGGTGGATGTTTCGACATCGCCGCGGACTAGAACTCCACGGACCGTCGCCGAAGGAAGCGAACGCGTCAAAAAACTACAAAGGGCCAACCTTGTGGACAGCGGCAGCGATGACGACAGCAGCAACGACGAGCAACAGGGCTCTACCGTGCGCGAGCGTTCTCCCGAAGAAGAGGCCAAGACCATCGCGGACGACTGGATGAATCTGAGGGTGGGATTAGGTTGTTGGCTGTCGTTGAGCTACCTGCTACCATCAGACACATCCATTGGCATACTTCGTTGTGGGCGTGGCAGAAGTACTGTAGTGTCGTAGAATATAATAGTTTTGGTATGTATAAAGAACTCCCTGTTAACCTTGTTTAATTTCACCATAATCCTCAATGCTCGAAATGTTGCGTCCGTCGGTTGTCCACTGTTGCCTGTTGTTGTGCTCGGCAGTACTCCACGCAAAACGAGTTGTTATTTTCTCATTCTCCACGGCAAAATCCTTCCTCAACCCTTCTTTCTCCGTTCCTCGCTTCGCCGTGCAGATCCCCCAAAAGCTACGGACGCTGGAGAACGGCGCAGACTACTGGACCCTCGACGGTAAATCGCTGCCGTTAGCACTCCGAGCAGTTGCGCAGTCTGTCTTCGGTTGTCCGGCCTCAGCAGATGGTGTGGAGCGAGACTTCTGCGTCGCCGACTTCTTCATGCCCGGTAGGCGATCCTCGCTAGACCAAGCGGGCTCTTTCTTCGAGCGCACAAGAGGATCATTCCCAACGACATCCCTACGCTGACCGACGCCCAGCAACAGGAAGCCATCCCGAATCGTTTTCCGAAGCAGGATCTGCTGGACGAAGTTAAGGTGTTGAACGTGGAGCTGGACGAGCGTAGCGACGGACAAAACGACGATGCTCAGGAGTATCCGTCGGGCAGCGACACCGCGTAGGGGCAGGTCCTGGGTTGTCCTGAGATTGCACCCCGTTACGGGTGGAGGTGCGGCCGCCGAGCCAGTACCAGCAGCTGGTGGCGGAGCTGCCCCTTTCAAGGCGGGCACGACGTTTCTTGGCAATGTCCAAGACTCGCCACTAATGTTTTTCTCGTATGTGTTGTTTAGTAATTCTTGGATACCTTTTTCTAGTTATAGTCCATGTGTGCGTGTTCTTTAGATCCTCAGATGGCTCTAGCACTTTCGTGACCACGGGCTGAAAGTCTTTTGCTAGATTTTGGCATTTAGCAACTGACATACGGTTGAATGCGAAGACAACAACAACAACAACAACAACAATTCGAAGGCTTTTATCGTGGGAGAGAACAAACCACACCAAGACGGTGTGGTGTTTTACAGAAGAGTGGTGTTGAGACTGCAATTCCATGGCGTTGAGTTGGAGAGTTCGAAAATATCTCTTCTAACTGTTGTCCTACTTGTTGACCAATTGTTAGAGCGTTGCCGGAGACTGGTGATCGTAACAGTACTCGCGCCTGGAGCTGCGCGATTATGGTTTGGGTAGCTATCTCAAGAGGGCGCCTGCCTCACAGGGACCAGTAAAGGCAACAGGCGGTATGGAACAAAGATCGGAACTGTTTTCGTTCTTTGAAGGGTGAAGACAACACGTGGAAGAACAACACCTATCCGGCGTTTTGTCGTTGTATTTGTGGTATCGATTGGATATGAACTACGCATTGGGCGAAATGCTCAGACATGTACGTCTTTCAACAGGTAAGGAGGGTTTGGTCGCCAGGAGACTATTGGGTATCACTCGGTGTAGAAAAACCCGTGCGTCTTGTTCATTCCAATACGTATCGATCGGTTTCCTGGGCGCCATATCGACGAACAATTTGTATCGATCGGTTTCCTGGGCGACATATCGGCAAACAATTTGTATCGATCGGTTTCTCGGACAACTTATCGGTATCAGCAATGCATAATGGTACTATGTTTGCCAAACGATATCGAAAAGCAAATGCATATTGATACCAAAACGTTCGAAGCCATCGGAAAGACAACACATAGAACGACGATTTTCCGTCTATATTGCCCAACCAACCAACATATATATATTGATCGTAATCGTCGCAATACATTGATTAGCGTAATACACGCCGATCGATCTGTACCTAAATCTATTGAATAAAACGATACATACTGACATCGAACTTGAAAAGTATTGGTGTGGAACAATACGTAATACATATCGTGTTGTCCAGGGTGTGATCCAGACGCCTCTTGCCATTTCTTGAGAAATAGGGGGCGGGCTCTTCCAAGAAGCGGCGCAAATTGAAGGTCTCATGTCTCATCAGCAGCGTCACGAGGATATGCGTGTCATCGTCATCGGGTTCTGCAGCTAGGAGCTAGACAAGTTGCTAGATTTCCCCAGATTGGCTATTCCTGCCTCAAACTGTTGTTGCAGGGCGGTTTGGCCTCGGGCGTTGGGCTCTGCTGTAGCTTCTGCTCGCCGCTGTAACTCCACATCGCGAGACTCCCACAGGATGACCAGGGTATCTGCTTGTAGCTACGGGCTGGCCCTTCAATTCAAGCTACACAGCAAGCTCCGCCTCTCAGCAGTAGTCCAGCTGCAGCGCATCGCGCAATCTCGCTCTCAATCAGATGCTTCGCTCTCAATTTCACCAAGATGCTGTTAAAACCGTTTTTGGATACGTGTATGTCGACAACGACGTTGAAAAACGTAAAAAAAGGAAACAAAAAAACATGTGATCGGATCGCCTTGATTGTTTTTTTTCACCGCGTTGCCGATTTCGGCGCCTCCATTCTCCTCGGCAATCGATTCCGCTTGGCCGATTTAGAGGGGGGTAGAGCCACTCAGAAAGTTGATCAGACCAAAACTCGACGTGGGAACCGAGAATCCAAAATCCCAGGAATTTTGAAATTGCTCAGATACTGTCAGCTTTTGAGCAGCTGAAAGTCCATTGCAAATCAAAACTGGGACATTCCAACAATATATTTGTGATCCCATCCCCAAAATTACCCTAATTCGAAATCAGGAGAGATTGAATCAACATATATGTAGAAAGTGTTACGGGAGGGGGGATATTTCAGTGTAGTTCCTAGTAATTCCAGCTTATCCCTGCGTTCGCGCATATATATCAATGCGTAGCTGTAGCACGGCCGCATCGATCCTGATCGAAATTCTGACGACGGAGTCTTGATGGACAACACAACGTTACCCTGTCCTGAAAATTTTATACGATTCGGAGGCGTTTGCAACTTGCTCGGGGGTCCCGCAGACGCGATTTCACCCAATTTTGGCCACTAATTCATCAATAAGTCATCACCACGACATCAATATGGGAAAATAAGTATATTTTCGTGATCCTCGTGACCTAACGGATGTTGGTACAAATTTTCAGAGGTTGGGAACCATTTCTTGCTGCTCATTGAAAAACTCGTGGAAACTATTCGTCTTTACCGCGGAACACCCCATCTACGAGCTGCCTGAGGAAGTGATGCCGCACGTCGATGTGCTTCGAGTTGGAATTCGAGATCGGGAGTTTTGCGATCTGGATAGCCCCCTCGTTATCTTCATACAGTGGAATGCACGGCCGCAACTCCTTAGGCAACATAAAACGCCAAACCTGCCTCAAAAACAAAATCTCCTTCCCCATGTCCGCCATCGTCACGAATTCTGCCTGCGTGGTAGACAAAGTCTCACACTTCTGAGTCTCGGAGAACCATGCAATCGCCCCTCCTGCACACATCACACCTCTCCCGAAACCGACCTACGGTCTGCCGCACGGGAAGCGTAGTCCGCGTCGACAAACGCAATCAAAGAAAATCCCGAAACCGTCCCCCTCCGAAAAGAAATCCCCGTAGTCCTCCCCCCCGCTCGACACCATATCTCTCTCCCAGCAGTTCGGTGAATGTCTGCTGTGAAATCGTCAGCCTGCCTGCCTCTCTATCCCTCTCGTAATAGCAACCGGAGTACCACTTCAACTCCCCTAAGAGACTTTACTGGCACGTACTCTCCCAGGTCCTTGCCGAGTTGATCACACCTCTCCTTCGTCCCCACTGCAAAAATATCGCCTTCGTGTACTACCAGAAGCAACATTACTTCCCCCCCTTCGACTAAACGAAAAACACACGAATCAGCCATGCACTGCTCGAACCCCAAGGCCAACAGGCACTTCTTCAGTAACGCGTACCACTCTCTAGATGCCTGCCTCAAGCCGTAAGTAACAGCGCACGCTTTTATATTTATGACTCTGAGTTCTCCGAAAAAGCCTCATCGTTAAGTTTGGACTCCACAATTACCAGCGCTTTAAGACGTCATGTGAACCGTAAAATAAGTTGGGCTAAGCAATATCGTTCAGCTGTTGACAGCGTCATCAACGGGTCAACAACCCACAATCCCAGCGCTCCGGTGCCTTACATTGAATTCGCAGAAGTAAGCAGAGTCAACGATGGCCCAGTAGTAGGAGAAACTGTAACTGCCCCTGAAATAGCAGCTCTATTATACACGTCAGGTCAACACAACGACGCCCCACGCGCAGTTGTTACTTATCCGAAGAATAGCCCAGATTCCAGACCACGTTTCTTACCGCTATGGAGTCCAGCGTACGAGACACTTCAGTTTCCTCTCCTTTTTTTGCATGGAGAAGCAGGTTGGAGTCAAGGTCATCGTCAGGAAGACCCACCATTCAAATCAAGGACCATGAATAAAACGAACACGCACCCAGTTTCCTTTCCCTTTTATTGCAGACAGCGGATATTGTCCGAACAAATCTTCAAGTTTAACAGCCGGATAGCCCAGGAGTGGGCATGTGACTCTCTTAGTAGAATGGAGGAAGACCGCCTTTCATTTGTCGAGAGACCCGCTCTCCAACAACGACTTGCAACCGATCGTTCAATTCGTGACTCATCCCCTACAGAACATCCAGGTAAATTACTCCCTGCTAGCCACCCTGGCTCACCAGCTAAGAGCAAAAGTGACACCGAAGACGCTTTAAGTATCGTTAACAGAAGAGGACGACCACATTTGTTCATCACAATAACCTTTAANCAGAACATCCAGGTAAATTACTCCCTGCTAGCCACCCTGGCTCACCAGCTAAGAGGAAAAGTGACACCGAAGACGCTTTAAGCATCGTTAACAGAAGAGGACGACCACATTTGTTCATCACAATAACCTTTAACGCTAATTGGAAAGAGGTCACAGATAACTTGCTGCCAGGACAGAGTGCTTACGATCGTCCGGACCTGTGTTGTCGTATTTTCAAACTCAAGTTTAAAGAGATTATGTCAGTACTTAAGAGTGGTAAAGTTTTCGGCCCCTACGACAGCCATCTCAGTGTAATCGAATTCCAAAAAAGAGGTTTCCCTCACGCGCACGTTCTCATGACTTTTAAAAATGCTGGACCTGATGCTCTCAACGAGATGGACAAATGGGTTTGGGCTCAATTGCCTAGTGAAAACATTGCACAGGGAAAACTACGTGAAAAAGTTTTGAAATACATGATACACAAGCCGTGCGGAGCTCACAACGTTAACTCCCCTTGCATGCAAACGAACCGAACGACAAACACAAAATGCTGCAGTAAATATTTCCCTCAACCGTTCAGGAATATTGGAATCGTTAACGACAAAACAGGACGCGCAGAGTACAAACGCACAAGAAACGGTGACAACCCAACAATACGAGTTCGAGTTGATGGAGTATGGAAGGATGTCAAGGTTGGCAACGAATGGGTAGTCCCTTACAACCCCCTTTTGCTCATGATGTTTGACTGCCACATTTGTGTTGACGTCGTAACGGCAACATCATGCGTTATCTATCTCTTCAAGTACGTACGCAAGGGCGAAGACTTTGCCAAGGCCAGAATTCAGGGTATTACGAGCGAGATTGAACAGTTTAGAAAAACACGATACATTTCAGCCGCCGAAGCAACGTGGAGACTTCTAGGCTACCACATGATGGACAGATACCCCGCCGTTACCAAAATCCATGCACACCTCGAGGGGGAACAATACATCACTTATCCCCACAATGCCACCCACGAAGAACGATTGACCATTGCCGAAAATTCCCAGTCTGACCTGCTTAAATATTTTAATCGTCCCGCCAATGACTTCTTCTCCCCCTTAACAATTTTAGATTACTACGAGCAGTACACCGTATCACCGCCTAAGGATCCTCCCGATCAGGTTGCGCCGTTCGGAAAATACTTGGACGGGTATCTCAACATCGTCTCTAAAAGAAAACATGATGAACATGTGTGCCGAATTGCTTTCCAAAACCCATCCGTCGGAGACCTTTACTATTTAAGGCTTCTTCTCCACCGAGTGCCAGCACGTTCTTTTCAACAACTACGCACAGTTGAACCCAATGATGGAGTCTCTGTTGAACACAATACTTTCCACGACGCTGCCCGAGCGCGAGGCTTGATTACAGGTGATGAAGAATACACCATGTGCATGGAAGAAGCTATAACATTTCAAGTGGGACGTTCACTACGGTCTCTCTTCGTAACGCTAATCCTAGATGGTGCACCAGCGTCAAAATTATGGCGAGAGTTTAAAGACAGCCTCATCCAGGACTTCCTGTCAAGAATGTCTGAAGACGACGCAGTCGAAAACGCTTTGAAAGAAATTGACTTGAATTTGCAACAGCATGGAAAGACTAACACGCAAGTAAACCTCCCAAGCGTCGTTCACACACTAACTGAATTCCAAAGAATGAAAAAGTCGTTCAACCCTCAACGAAGTACAGAATACGCCGACTCGCACGAACCAAAACTTACGTCTGAACAGCGCCATGTTTACAATACAGTCATTGAAGCGGTGAGAACCGGAAATTCGCACCCATTTATGATTGACGCTCCTGCTGGAACAGGGAAAACCTACACCGAAAAGTGCATTGCTGCCAGGTTAAGGGGGGAAAACAAGAATGTTTTAATCGTTGCATCTACGGGCATTGCTGCTTTACAACTTCCAGGAGGTTGGACTGCCCATTCCATGTTCAAGTTGCCTATGGATGACGCCTTAACCCCCACCTGTGTGTGCAACATCAACACTCAGACACAACGGGCTGAGCTTATTCGTAAATCGGACCTAATCATATGGGATGAATTACCTATGACGCACAGATACTGTATTGAAGCTCTTGACAGGACCATGAAAGACCTCACAAAAATCGATAAGCTCTTCGGTGGCAAAACCATTTTGTTTAGTGGAGATTGGCGTCAAACAGGACCTATTGTCAAGAATGGATCAGCTACTGACACTGTCGACGCTGCTTTCATCTCTAGCGTTTTGTGGACCAACGTGCACAGGATGAAACTCACGAAATCACAACGAGACAGAGAGGACCCACAATACTCAGCTTTCGTACGTGCTATCGGAGAAGGTACACACCCCACTACTGCAATTCACGACAGCAATGTCATTGCCCTCAACAACCACAACGTCGATGACCCCCAAGACCACTTTCAACTTCAATACACGACAGAATTCAACGAGCTCTTCAACTTTGTTTACCCTGATGTCACTCAAGATTCGCGTTTATGGAACAAGCGTGCTATTTTGGCCACGACAAATACTGCCATTGACCGTTCAAACGACACCATTTCTGATGAGCCCCCGGGACCGACCTGCTCATTTCTTAGTTCGGTATCACTTATCTCAGATGAAACTTCGCCTAACACCGCATTTGCTGCACCTGANGCCCGGGACCGACCTGCTCATTTCTTAGTTCGGATTCACTTATCTCAGATGAAACTTCGCCTAACACCGCATTTGCTGCACCTGAACACCTCAACGAACTCAATGTCCAAGGCGTACCTCCTCATAATCTTCAACTCAAATCCGACGGTCTAGCCATGATTACTCGAAACCTTAACTTCTCTCAAGGCCTCGTGAACGGACAAAAATGTGTCCTCCTTGCAGTGTCCCCTAATAGCCGCGTCATCCAAGTCCAACTTCTTACTGAACAAACACCTCAACCAATCGTTTTGATCCCAAGAATAAGCTTCCAGGCCAAAGTCGGCACGAACGGAATCAACTTCACGCGAATACAGTTCCCACTCAGGACCGCCTACTCAATGACCATCAACAAGAGCCAAGGCCAAACCTTAACTAGAGTAGGACTAGATTTAAGATAATCTGTTTTTGCTCACGGTCAGCTCTACGTGGCCTTAAGTCGAGCGCAAAACCGCCAATCTATTATGTGTATTTTGCCACACGAACACATCCTCGATAACACGCCCTACACAACTAACATCATCTACAGACCTTTCATCGAAGCGGCCACAGGAAATTCACGCCCTGACTTGCCTGCCTCGCCTGGATTACCCGTCCCACCTGCACCTTCCATTCCTGCCTTACCCACACCGCCCATCCCTCCTCTTCCTCCACAACCAACTTGGCACATACAACCCGAACAAGGAGACGGAGCATGCGGCTTCCGAGCCATTGCCAGACATTTTCTCGGAGATCCTAACTTGCACCTCCAAGTCCGTCAACAAGTCGTGCAATACCTTTCCGACAACCGCGGAAACCCTGACCTCATATACAATGGCATCGGCATCGAACTCCTGTGTTCATTGTCTTCTTCACCATGCACGTACTCTTCTTACGGCGACTACCTGTCCAAAATGTCAATGCCACAAACGTACATGGGCCAACCGGAAATTTTCGCCGCCACCCACATATACGGTAGCCCAATCAACGTCCATTTCGACTCATCAACACTGCCACCTCCTCACGTCGCTAACCATCACGAGTTGTTCTTGAAATACAACACTGCCGCAAAGCATTACGATACTTTCACTGTTATACACCCGCCACAATCATGACCTTTTCCTGCAAACACTAACATCACCCCATCATTCAACAAACCTTCCCAAATGTTCACCACCTCAGGTCTTCTTTCTGCAACGATGCTCCTCCTACCATGGCAAAACGCTGTCCAACAGCACGGAAGTACACCATCAACGACACGCACGCTGCGTTAAAGACTGATCTTCGTTTTTCTGCGTCTTTTGGTGTTGCTCTCAGTCTGTGTCTTTCGGTGTTGCTCTCAGTGTTGCATGTTTCTGCCTTTGCAACACGTATGTAGCCATGTAAACGCCAGGCACGCCATCTCAGTATCTGACCTTCGATTACGTATATAGCCACGTAAACGCCAGGCGCGCCATCTCAGTGTCTGACCTTCGATTTCGTGTGTTTCCTTTTAAGAGCCTGATAAGAGTATCACATTCATTCGAGTTCGATGTCTTTACCTGTAACAGCGGAAACATATGAAGTGCCGGCGTAGATTAAGCCTTCTGAATATCACATTGAC